CACGGCGCTGCGAAGACAGCGAAGTGTCTTCGGCATCGACACCGGACTCCGGATACAAAAGAGAAGAACGCACTCGTTGACGGAACCCAGCGGCTCCCAACACAGACTGATAGGTGATACGCTCTTTATTGTAAAACTCACATGTATAGTTGATGCCAGTTGCGGTCGCTGCATGCCGATGGAGATCGTCGTCAGGTTGTCTGCCGCCGGGTGTACCATGTCGTCGTACGCAAGCAGCAGGGCCGGCGCGCTGCGTGACGAGCCACTTGGATTTCGACTCGCTGTGCCTCAGCCCGGGTGTGCTACGATTCGCTTTACACAATAGACGCAACTATGGGCAGAAGAAAATGCGAAATGCGGGGCGGCGAGGAACAAGTGAGTACGACTTATTGATCGTAAAACTTGCAATCGGCGTCGACACCGTTCCAATCATCGGCGCATGTCCGCACGGGATACCTTTCAATAGAAAACACTTAGCGGTCAATTGCTTTTTTTAATGTTCGCTTCACGTGTCTGTTTTTTTTTGTCTTGTTTGCCGTGCGTTTTCGTTCTCTTGCCCATGCCTCCCAAGCTGCACCCAAGCTGTCCTCCAGCGACACGGAGTCGGAGTTGGGCTCTGGTCCGTCGTCGGTTAAGATCCTGGCCCTCAATGATCGTATGTCTACTGCACTGGAGTTGGTGACGGAGCATTTAGCAGCCGTCACGGGCGGGATGACGCTGATGACGCGTTTCGTGGTGCTGCTAAGATACGTTCATTCACACCTACGTCACTTCTTTCTCCCTAGTCTCCTGGGAGTCCAAAACGTGCAACATAGCCCCCCAGGGTTCGACCCCCTTTGTGGGTTTACCTTTTTTTCTGTTTCTCAAACATTGTTCTGTTGAGGCATTTGGCAATATTTACATTTCTTTTCTATGATTAACAGTGAAAAGAATGAATGTTTTCAAAGAAACTTCGCTCAACTAAATGGTACGGTCCTCTCTTTCCGGACGTGCATGGGGAACAGCGAAGCTTTGGTTGCCGGCTGGACGCCGCGAAGGGGGGGGAGGGGGGCAAATGGCTAATACTGTATTTACTCGAGTAATGGTCGCACTATTTATGAACAACGCCCACCGGTCTACTTTCCCGCAGAACACATGTACAGCCAATCATTGCGTTGCGCATAAATAACATGGCGAATAACCAGATCGAGAACACGATTCTCCATACAAGTGCAATCTTCACAGATGGTATCTTCGCATGAAAACATTATCTCTGTCTTGTAAATAGCTGAAATCATGCTGTCAATCGCGGTGATTGGCAATCTGCGTGCTCCGTGGAAAAGCGAACCCTCAGGTTTTCTTCATAAACAGTGTGGCCATTACTCGGGTAAATACGGTAGTTTTGTAAGGAGCAGCCGCATACTGTCGCAGCGAAGCGACGTGAACGCCGGGGGGGTTAACAAGCTCCCAGTGATACACACTCTGTCCATCTCTCTCTCTGCATCGTGCGTATAGCCACTTCCAATCAAGGTGCACGATGTTGTGTGTATAGCCTTATACACAAACTCTTCTACGTCACGCCGCAGTGGTGGCGCTTCGGCACACTTCCGGTCTGGGGCGGTGGGCAGAAGTCGCCGCGCGAGACAGGCATTCTTGCGTTCTTTTCGGATAAACCAGACCAAAAACCTGCGTTCTCGTCAAAATGCTGCGACCGGGGCTGTAGCAAAAGAGCCTGGAAAGGTTTGAAGAGCAGCTTTCATGTGTTTCTGCCAGCTCCGTTCGTCCGAGTACGTCGATAGTAGCCGTGAAAAGGGTAAACCAGACGCCGTCGAACTACGATTGCTTGTGCGGGCAACAGTTTGTGGTCGCACATGTATTTGTTTGGTTCCAACATGAACGAGAGAAAAACGCCAAGTTGTCTGGGCCACCCGCGGGTTTAGTGCGTCTTCAAATTCACATGGCCGCCTGATCGTTCGAACTTTCGTCCGCTTTTTCTCGTCTGCTCGTTCAAACAAAAGTGGCCCGTAGACGAAACTTTGATCCGGTTATAGCAATAAGAAGCAACTGCAGGCCTCAAAAGAGTTAAGTAAACTGGGTGTAAACAATAGATACAAGGTGTTGATCATTGGTACCAGTAGCCATCACCGACTTGTTACGCTTGATCTGTTCCTGCTTCCGAATTTCAGTATCGACGTCGATCATCGCCGCTGCCTTTTACACTTTTGCAGCACGAGCGACGTTGCGATCAAAAATATCTAGAAGAACCTCATTATGATTTTGGCGTCCTATCTGCGGCGTTCACACGAATGAATCGCCGTACGTCAAATTGTTTACGCAAAGTTTAGTGGTGTAACGAGCCTTAATAATTTCGTTCAGGCGATTGAAGTGGTAAAGACATTGCTTTGAGGACGTAGAATCTACAATTCCAACGCGAAAAAGAGTATGCAGACTCACACAGACGCCGACAACGTGACAATCCAATGGTTTGTTGACGCGGGACGCGGTGCTTCTTGCCCGCACTTCATTGCACAAGCGTTCAAACTGTCGTCTGCTCTGTCAAACTTGTCTGCTTTTTGTCAGCTCGTTCAAACGGCAGCGGCCCGTAAACCAAACATTGATCCGGTAATTGAGATAACAACTAAGTGCATGCCTCAAAACACTTTTGAAGGTTGGTTGGGGTAAGTAGGCTAAGCGTAAACAGTTGATACAATAAGATGTTGATTATTGTTACCGGTGGCCATCACCGATTTGTAATGCCCGATTCTACTTGCGGTTTTCAGTATCGACGTCCACCATCTCAACTACGGTCCACGCTTTTGCAGCCCGAGCGACGTCACGACTGGAAATAACAAGCAAAATCTCATCGTGCAAGTCAGGCTTTAGCGCCCATCCCGCGGCGTCCACGTGAAGTGAATCGCCGCAAGTCACATTATTCACGCGAAGTTTTGAATCAATAATTTGGCTGAAGCCGCTCAAGTAGTCAGACATTGTTAGGAGGACATAGAATCAACAATTCCAACGCGAAGAAGATCACTGGGACTCCCACCGACGCCGAAAACAACGCAATTCAATGGTTTGTTTATGGGCAACGACGGGCTTCTTGCCCATTGCTGATGCGCAGCGCCGGTGGCGTCCGATAGGGGCGCTTTGGTTTGTTTGTAAACATGAGCTGGTGTATACCCGTGCCATGCGGGCAACTCGAATGCCATTTACAATGAATGACATTTGAACGATCGGCCAATCAGCGCGCGACACTCCGAGCGTGGGGCGTTCCACGCGCGACAGATTGCGAGCCGATTCGTAAATCACACGAATGTCATTCGTTGTAAATGGCATTCCAGTTGCCCGTGTGACACGGGTGTTAGTCATTCTATTTCCATCTCTTGAGGCGTTCCGCCGCAGCTTCCGAGAGGAGTTCCTGGCACCGGGGTGCGAGTCCCGAGTTCAGCGGGAAATCAAGTGTCGCACACAGAACCCAGAAGAAGGCCTTGTGAAGTATATTCGAGTCATGCAGGAACTGCTCAACCGAGCAGTGCAAGCTGCTCTCGAGTTGCAGAGGGTTACTCGCATTGTTCGTCAGTCACCCGTTACAACATCTGTCTTCATGGGTCCAACTACGACACCACTGAAGACCTCGTGTAGGGAACTATCGCGGCTTGCGTGGACTACAGGCCTCCCGCCCCCAGCTGCAGAAGCCTCCGAGCCGTCCTGTGCGTGGGTACCTCCCACATGCTTCGACGAAGAACAAGCAACTCTGACTCGACACCTTCCTGAAAGGGCCTGTGCCAACCTTGCCTACTTGCCCCTCGCCCTGAACCCCCTTGACTGTCGTCGGGAGGTCCAATGTTTTTACAACAAGCTGGGTCGTCAAGAGTCTAAATTCCTGATCCAGGAAGCCCCAGGCAGCTGGGATTGCCCCCCCCCCCCCCTTCCCCGGTGGCCCGCACCAGAGCGAAATTTTGCCGCAGGTGCTGCAGACCATCTCAAGCGGCCGGCTGCAGTCCCCTTACGGCGAAGGCCGGCTGCCTAACCGTCTTCGAGATTATTGAACGGCCAACAAATGCCCCAGCTTGGGCGAATGAACCAGTGAAGTTGAGAGACAGCGGCCAGTGTTGGAGAGACTGGGGTAACATGTGAAATAGAGCGGCAGAAGACCGTTGGCAGCCCAGTTCCTGCTACAACTAAGGACAGCGTGGCCGTTCTCGCAGCCAATGCCTGCACTGGTGGTGCCGGGGCCGGAGGAACCAGGGAAACCAACAGGGCCCGTGACGCTGAACTTTGAGATCTCGCTGCCGCCGGCCCAAGCTGGCGGCAGCGAGTTCCAGCTTCGGGATAAGCGAGTCGCCAGCACTCCTCTCGTCTGTGTCACTTACGACCTACAGGTCAATGCATCGAGCCTTACATGACAGTTTGTCTACTTGCTGTTCCCTTTGCCGCCCTCCTTGATAACAGAGCAGAAAGTTTGCTTATTGGGGACTTTTTTGAGCTGTGCAAAACAGAAAAAGCACCGCTTTGTTCCTAAAATACACTTCAGCAGTGCGCTGCAAGGCTCGGCATTCTATTCGACGAAGAGGCACGCTAGCATTTTTTTTATCTGCCAGGATTGAACGTGCCAATTACCATTTGGTGGAGATTTTATTGCAGGCGAAAAACTTTTGCTCGACTTTGCTGTCGGCGGCTATTGGCTGGATGGACATTCAGCTGGATGTGACCCCCTTCACCAGGCGAGAGGGCTGCATTACTGGCGGAACTCTCCCGGCTCTCTGTACAACAAGGCTTGCTGCAGCCTTTCCTGCCGGTGTCCGAGACGCCGTGCAGGTGCGTCCAGCGTCCAGGAAACAAAAGCAACAGCTAGAGAGCATCTTGCAGCCATTTTCACCAATGTACTACACGGAAGTTCTGGGAAAGACTGATGTGCTGCTGCATCGAATCGAGACTGGCGACGTTCGACCAACTGCGGTGCAACCCAAGCCCCTCATCGTCCATGTAAGAGCTCTCCTGAATGCAGCATTACAGGAGCGGATCGACACCGGAGCTGTTTGCAACTCCCAGAGTCGTTGGGCTTCTCCCGTCGCAGCCTCAACGCTGTAACGGTAAAGGATTCATACCAGTTTCCCTTGATCGACTACACGAAAGTGTTCACAACGCTTGACTGCAGTCTAGGATAACCGATATAGACCCAGATGAGGTTTCGACAACCGTTTTTACCTATCACAAGGGAGTGTTCGAGCCTTTCAAATTGTTGAGTCCTTGATACGTAAGAACGCAACTTTATTAGAGTATATATCCAGCCCGTGTGGCTGGTCGGGATTACATTCTGGAGGGTCGCTCCAACGCTCGGCGGGAACGCGCGCGGTCTCGCGGGGGCGCAGAGTCCGCAGGCGCGCGAGGCACGCGAAAACGAAACCTGACACGCGCCCGGTTCGGTGCTCTCCGGACGCGTGGTTCCATCTGGTACAACGCAGGGGAACCTCAATATACGCGACTCCTCGGTGAGGACCGGGGCGCGAGAACTCGAATACACAACACCCCTCCCCCCTAAACGAATTCTTTCAAATGGGCGGGATGGCGCGTTGTCCGACTTGATCGGCGAAGTGCGATCGGTGAGGTGCTGTTGCTCTCGGATGAATCTGTGGATCGCGCAGCAGCGGGCGAGGGTGACCCAGGAGCAGCGGCCGGGGTCAATCTGGCTTCGGCAGGTGTTTCCTCAGATTCGGTCCTAGACGTTCCCGGCATGCTGCGCCTTGCAGCCGACCCGGCGTCGTCACGAGTCTCCTGTGGATCAAGTTCCGCGCCACCAGAATCCGGAGCGCGATCACGCGTATCAGGAATGTCCGGCATGTCCGACGTTCGTCGGCGAATGTGGTCAACGTGCCGTTTCCAAGACGTGCCGTCTTGCAGCTTCACCTGATATGATACCGGTCCACTGCGAGAGTAGACGACGGCGGGAACCCAGCGTGGACGTCCCAACGCAAAGCTGCGAGCGAACACGCTGTCGCCGGGGCAGAATTCTCTCATTGTTCTGCTGCTCTGTGCGTGCTTTTCCTGGCGCTGCTCGACGTAGCGCTGATGGTCTGGGTGGACGGTGTCCAAAGCCGACCTGAGTTGGCGCGACATCATCAACTCTGCCGGGCTTCTTCCTGTCGATGTGCTTGGCAGGATATGCTGCTCAAACAGGAAGCGTGTGAGGCACACATCGATGTCAGCGCCTCTCAAGCGTCTCAGCGCTTTCTTGGTGTCTTGGACGAACCTTTCCGCTTGACCATTCGAAGATGGATGGTAGGGAGACACCAATGCTTGTCGAATGTTGTTGCGGGCGAGGAACGTGCGGAACTCCTCTGACGCAAAGGCAGGGCCGTTGTCCGAGACAACCACATCGGGCAGTCCGTGGGTGGCGAACATCCTTCTTAGTTCGCGGACAACAGTCGCTGCTGACGTGGACTTCGTAATTCGTACTTCTAACCACTTAGAATACGAGTCCACGACCAAAAAGAAGGTCTTTCCTTGGAAGGGGCCCGCAAAGTCCAGGTGCAGTCGGGACCATGGCCTGGAGCTGCATTCCCAGGGATGCACTGGAGCTTGTGGAGGCGAGTCCCTTGTGACTTGGCAAGTCGCGCAGGTGCGGACCTGCTCTTCGATTCCCTTGTCTAGGCCTGGCCACCAGACGTAGCCTCTGGCGAGCCCCTTCATGCGCACCATGCCGGGATGTGCAGAGTGGAGAATCTTTAGGATCTCGGGGCGGAGGCTAGGTGGCACAACTACGCGGCTGCCCCAAAGAATGCAGTCGCGGTATGCGGAGAGTTCGTCGCGGCGCACATAGTACGGTTGGAACTCTTCTGATGGCTTCTCGTCAGGCCATCCATGCTTGATCCATCGGAGGATGCGGGACAGCTTCGGATCATGTTTCGTCAGTCGAGCAATCCGCTCTGCGTCGACTGGCCTCTCTGGAGCAGCCTCGAGCAGGAGAACGTCCTCCAGGGGTGGAGGCTGGAAGTCCTTTGTCGGCAGAGGCAACCGGCTGAAGGAGTCGGCATTGCCCATCTGTCGACCTGGACGGTAGACCAGCTCGTAGTCGTACTGTCCCAGGAGCAGATTCCATCGGAGCAGGCGTGGCGATAGAACCGCTGGGATGGGTTTGCTGTGGTGCAGGAGCCCAAGCAAGGGTTTGTGATCTGTGTAGATCTTGAAGTGTCTCCCATACAGGTACTGGTGAAACTTCTTGACGCCTGACACCACGGCCAACGCCTCTCGGTCTGTTTGAGAGTAGTTCCGCTCGGTCGGAGTCATCGTCCTGGATCCGTAGGCGACTGGAGCTTCCAGGCCAGGCAGATTTTCATGACTCAGCACAAAACCGAGCCCGTATGGCGATGCGTCGCATGCGAGAACGAGGGGCTTGTGGACGTCGTAGTGTCTCAACACCGCTGACGATTCCAGAAGCTTTTTTGCGTTGATAAACGCCTGGTCTTCATCCGGTCCCCATTTCCATGGCGAGTCTTTGCCGAGGAGACGGTGCAGGGGTTCGAGCGTGTGCGCTGCTCCGCGTAGGAAACGGTTGTAAAAGTTCAACAACCCGAGGAAGGACTGAAGCTGCTGCTTGTCCTTGGGTGCTGGAGCTTCCTTCAGAGCCTTGACCTTTTCTTCAGTCGGGTAAATGCCTTGGCTGTCGATGCGATAGCCCAAGAAGACGACTTCAGGCACTCCGAAGGCGCACTTGTCTTTGCTCAAGCGCACTCCATCTTCCTGGATTCTGTTCAAAACCGCTCGGAGGTTGCGGTGGTGCTCTACTTCCGTTCGGCCTCCGACGATGATGTCGTCCAGGTAGACGTGCACCATTGGGAGTCCAGCCAGCAGTTCCTCCATATATCGCTGGAAGATGGCAACGGCTGTGGCGACACCGAATGGAAGGCGGGTGACTCGAAACAGTCCGCGATGCGTGTTGACCGTTAGCAAGTCGGCGGTCTCGTCGTCCACAGTCAGCTGCTGGTATGCTTGATCTAGGTCAAGGCGCGAGAACACCTTGCAACCTGCGAGGTTGGCGAAGAGCTGCTCTGTGGTAGGTAAGGGGTATGTCTCCCATTGGAGCACAGGATTGACGGTGCACTTGTAGTCGCCGCACAGGCGAATCTTGCCATTTTTCTTCACTATTGGGACGACCGGGGTTGACCAACGTGAATTACGCACTGGCTGGTAGACGCCTTGCTCGACGAGAATGTCGATGGCGGCTTCGACGCGAGGACGTAGAGCAACAGGTACCTGGCGCGCTTTGAGGAAGCGGGGTGTAGCCGCAGGGGCGACCTCGATGCGAACAGGTAGTCCTTTGCTTTTTCCCAGTCCCTCCTTGAAGACTTCAGGAAATTCGGCTACCACAACGCTGACTGGTTGCTGCCGAAGGGTTCGTTCTTCAGAGAGTTGCTTCACGCCACTGAGGCCGATTCCCAACGCAGGAAACCAGTCTCGACCGAGCAGACTGGTGCCGGTTCCTTTCACCACCAGAAGAGGAAGGCGTGCCTCTCGGGTCTTGTAAGTGACGTCAACCTCCAGTGTACCCATGATGTCGAGCCGCTCGTGGGTGTAGGATTGTAGCTGGAGTGCAGAGGGTTGAAGATTAGTGGTCGAGAGGTCCAGAACTCGGAAAGTCTCTGAGCTGATCACGGTGCAGGCGGAGCCTGAGTCCACCTCCATGGATAAAGCATGTCCGTTGATCGCAACCTCTGCGAATACAGCGGGGGTGACGGAGCTGACTGTCGACAGTGACTGAAGAACCGGAACCTCCTCCACAGGTTGACCCGTGTGGCAAACGGACGGCGTCACGTGGTATACGTCCTGATCTGGGGGATCGGTTGCTTCTGTCAGCTGGTGATTACGGCCTCTGGGCCGCCGTTCGGAGTCAGGTGGTCGCTCAGAAGCCTTGCCCTGTTTCTTTTTTCCTTTTGCCGCTTTTTTACGGCAGGCCTTCTGCAGGTGTCCTTTGTTGCCGCAGAAGTGGCATACGACACTGGCGTAGGAACAGTTTGCAGCGTCGTGTGAGCCCGTGCATCTCCAGCACTGGACATGAGAAGATCGATCGTTGGTGGAAGCGCTACCACTGGGGGGCTTCCGCGGCGCCTGTGCCACTCGGTTTTGCTCTTGGCGAGCTTCTGACCTGGTGCGACGAAGTTCTTCTGTCTTAACGGCTGCTTCCTCAGCAGCCCGAGCCATCTGAACAGCCTTGGTCAGTGTGAGCTCTGGTTCAGCCAACAGTCGGCGCTGAAGGGTCTCGTCGCGCAAGCCGCATACCAGTCGGTCGCACAGTAGACGATCAAGCCAGTCCTCAAACTCGCAATGACGAGCGAGATGCCGAAGTGCAGCGAGGTAGGCCGGCACTGTCTCTCCTTGGAGCTGATCCCGTTTGTTGAATCGAAAGCGTTCCGAGGTGACAGAGGGCTTGCTGACGAAGTGGGTATCCAGTTTAGCTACGATGTCAGCGTATGGTGTCTGCATCGGCGTCTTGGGGGCACACAGGGAGCGAAGGAGTGTGTAGGTGTCCACTCCGCAGGCACTACAGAGGATGGCTTTCCGCTTGTCATCGGTTGCGATGTTCTGAGCTTGAAAGTAAAATTCAAGCCGTTCCCGGTACACGGGCCAAGCGGCTGGCTGATCCGGCGAAAATTCAGCCAGGGCGAGGTATGGGGCCGAAGGAGCCATCACAACAGTCGGAGTATCTTTGTCCGGGGAAGACATGTCGGGTCCAAGGAGGGTGAACACAATGGAGGGTGGCCACACCCAAGAGTTCTGGTTTCGGAGCGCAGCGCAGGGCTTCACGCGCAAAACGGGACGTAGTACGCTCTGACGCCGTACATACGTGGAAGGCGAGTCCGGGGATCACTTGCCTCGTCGCCAGTTGTTGGGTCCTTGATACGTAAGAACGCAACTTTATTAGAGTATATATCCAGCCCGTGTGGCTGGTCGGGATTACATTCTGGAGGGTCGCTCCAACGCTCGGCGGGAACGCGCGCGGTCTCGCGGGGGCGCAGAGTCCGCAGGCGCGCGAGGCACGCGAAAACGAAACCTGACACGCGCCCGGTTCGGTGCTCTCCGGACGCGTGGTTCCATCTGGTACAACGCAGGGGAACTTCAATATACGCGACTCCTCGGTGAGGACCGGGGCGCGAGAACTCGAATACACAACACAAATTTGCCCGATACCTTTCAACATCGAATGGACATTAGTGTCGATGATACAAAGAGCAAGTTTGTGATGGCGTATATGAATTACGTCATTTTCCCCAATCTTTCAAGAAATACCTTGAACATCTTAGGATTGTCCTCAAGCAAATGCAATCTGCCAACTTGACAGTTCACCCTGAAAAGGAAATCAACCTTCTCGGCTTTGCTGTTAACCCGAGTTTTTCACCCCAATCGGGACAAGATGTGTGCGATAACCGATTGCCTGCAGTGATTGCCCTCGGCTCTCGAAGGCAATCACCGACTTCGCTTCGTTAGTTTTCGGGTCTTTTTAGCCTGTTTGTTGTTCAGACTCATGCCAGCGACTCTGGCCTTGGTGCAGTCGTGCTTCAGGAACACAACGGTGTTCTTCGGCCAGTTGCCTTTACCAGCCGCATGCCGACACCGGCCAAACACTACTATTATGCAATGGAAAAGAAGTGTCTTGCCATTATTTTTACCCTAAAAAAATTTAGCATGTATTTCAATGGCACATACTTTCAGACCCAGACCAATCAAGTGTTTTCCTGGCCGAATAATTTGCGGAATCAAGTCGGACGTCTCGCACAATCAGCTTCGACATTACAGGCATGCCACTAAGCCACTACATACAAGACGGGAGTTTTGTTGCGGCAGATCTGCTCTCGTGTGCTCCTTTGCAGGTCCTCCCCACTCAGGACGAACATGCATGGGTGGGAATACCTGGCATTGTGGCCGACACATCAGTCAGAATGGGGGACGTTGGTGATCAGAGAACTTTGCAAGGCACAGTGGGAGGGGAAACTCCGTCTACGGGTGTGCGAGAAGCTTGCAGAACAAAGGGTAGGCCGCACCGAGAGCAACGGTAGGTACGACTCATACTTGCTGAGAGAGAATGGACTTGTTCTCAGCTACATTTTTCAAGCAGACGATGCCGCCCATGGCTCGCCTTTCAGGATTGTGAAACTTCGAACGCCGTTCATCAGTCACTTCCATGATTCAGCCTCATCAGGTCACAGCAGCAGCAGTATGACTTGCAATAATTTACGCCATGTCGAGACTTGACCAGGAATCAGGCAGGATATACTGAAGTGTGCCCACACTTGTCCAGGATGTCAGAAGTCAAAGCCACGTGAAGGCCACCTACCAGGGTTTATACAGCCAATCGTAAGCCACTCTCCTTGGCAGATTGTTGGCTGTGACCCGTGATGGGATCGTTTCCTCATAATCCGTACAGTAATCAGCATCTTCCTGTCGTGACTGATCACTTCAAGAAATCGGTTGAATTGCTCCCTTTACAGAAGCTTCTTTCGAAAAAAATCTGGGATTGCCTTCTCGCCGTCCTTACCACAGTCGGCTTTCTTTCAGAGCTCATGGTGGATTATACTTCCGGAGCAAGGTTGTCTCGACATCTGTGCTGTGCTTGGCATGCAGTACAAGCTCACTTTTTCGCAGTGTTTATAGTCTGTTGTGCCGCCTAGCTGTTCGTTGGCAGATGCATCACATGCACAGCGAAAGGGAACATAAAAGCAGCATAATATATTATTGGTTTTCCAGGGAAACGAACACAAGACGTGTACACTTAGAGTATAGAGTATTGCTTCTTACATCTGGTCAGTGTGGTCATTGCTTCAGTTACTATGGTCAATTAAAGTGGTGTCTTTTTCTTACATTCAATCAATGGATATTGTTTCAGGTGCTTCTGGCACGCTGCCTATAGGCCGTGGATGCTATGGTTGTGACGGCGACTGGGGAAAAGCAACTGGCGACCACTGCCCTCCTGCATGGTGAAAACAAATAGGAACCGAACGCCAGCAACACTTTTTCGGGGTTCCTGTGTTCTGATCGCTGCGACTGAATAAAGTGTTTTTGTTTTACTGGGTATAAAACCATGTTTCTCTCACCACAAAAGTAATCAATGCATCATCCAACGGTTGGTCTTCACACAAATGTATTGTTAGCCGTTAGAGTCAAGTGACAACTTACTACTGGCCACTTCAAAGCTGTAATCGATTTGCATAACTTCTCACCAAGAACACTCGGGGTTTTGTTGGCTGCCATCTTTGCGGCGCTTCTGTGCAAATATTTCCATACTCCGTTTCACCTTACAACTGACTGCAGTGGACGCTACGAGCTATTGGAGCCAATGGTCAATAAGTTACAAATAGCAGTGCCCTTAGCGGTTCAGGTGCACTCTCGGAGCAGGAGACTGTCAATAAGTAGTTTCGGTTTCGCCGGGTTTAGAATCTTTCGTCTGCTATTGTCTCCACATTGCCGTTGCTCACGTCGTCGTGGATTGCTCCACACTTGTGAACGATGCACTAAGTGCCCTTTTCTTCTCGTCGCTACAAATCTGACACGGCGAATAATGAAACAATTAATATTGCTGGCACGGGTTTTGAGCGAGAACGTTCCAACGGCGAACTGAACGTAGAGCGACGTACGCCAAATGCCGTGCCAGCTCGCTGCGTGCATTTGTTTGCCACCTTGAAAACATCAACTGAGATTAGCACACGTTTTATAACACCCTTGCTTCACCAATCGCTATTTGCAATTGGTTTAACACAATACACGACGAAGCTCACTGTACGAGAACGTTCAAGCGCAAATTTGCGCCTTTTGCTACGTTGCTGTCTGAAAATTGGCCGCAGAAACAAGGGTGTTGTAGAAACAGAGTACTAGTCTCAGTGGCTGTTCTCAAGGTTGCAAACAAATGCATGCGGTGAACTGGCATGGCATTCGTCGATCTGCAGTCACTTGACTTCACCGTCATGGCGTTTTTGCTCGTCCCCCGTGTCAGAAAAAATCCTAATTGTTTCATTATTCGCTGCAGCTGATATGTAGTAACGAGAAGAAAAGGGTACTTATTGCATCGCGCGCAAGTGTGGAGCATCCACAACATGAGCAATGATGGTGCGGAGACAAGAGCACAACAGATGGACAACCCAGTGAAACTGAAACTACCCGTTGACAGTCTCCTACTCCCAGAGTGCACCTGAACCATTAGGGGCACTGCAATTGTTGTGACCGTGGGCGTCCGAGTGCGACCACATGGTCGCCAGGCAAAAGGAACACAACTACCCCGTGTGACAGCTCGTCAAAAAGTGCCTTTAATCGTAAATCAGCAACCGGAAGAAGCTTCGCTTCCGGTAAGCCCGCAGCACGACACATGTGGTGCCATCTATTGCCAGATGTCCTCACTACATCTCTCCTTCGAGCTCGAGGGAGCTTTACCTCGTGCTTTCACAAGTTAAGTCTTTGAGGAGGCTTGACTTGCCGCCCCGAACGTGTGACGCGTATACCCGGTGGGGGAGACTGCCATGTAGAACTGGGCACCACCGCTGAATCGCCTGTTGGTCTTTCGGCTACAGGAACTGGCCCGTCTGAAGTTGCAGGCTGGGTGCAAACAAAGTCGCTTGGCTGGCTGGGAGTACTGGGCGTAAACGGCACCAAGTGGCGACGGTTGCGCTGGACAACACCCCTTGGCGTCTCGACCACGTAGGAGCGCGGCCGTTTGGCCGGGCTCAGCACCCTAGCAGCACATGGTATATCTTGTACCCACACCTCTTCCCCTGCTTCCAGAGGGCGCAGTGACTGGGCGGCGTGACGCCTGTTGAAGTCCTTGCATTGATGGCTCTTCACGCTCTGGTCCCTGCTCTTGACGAGCTTTGGCGACGGCCACTTCGGCATCAGCGACGCAGGTAACCCTGGCAGCCTGGTCCGGAGACGACGACCCATGAGCAGCTCCGAAGGGCTGTAGCCGGTCACTCCGGGTGTGTCCCGGTACACCAGTAACGCCATGTGCGGATCCTCTGCCTTCACGAAGAGCTCCTTCAGTGTTCGAACCATGCGCTCTGCCTCGCCATTCGCTTGCGGGTACCTCGGACTGCTCGTACGGTGGGCGAACCCATACAAGGCTGCGAAAGAGGCGAATTCCGTTGACGAAAACTGCGGACCGTTATCGGAGACCACAGTCTCCGGAATCCCAAAGCGGGCAAAGGAACTCTTCATAGCCGCGATGACGGAGCTTGATGTTGTGGTCGCAAGACTGACCACCTCGGGGAAACGGGAATAGTAGTCAACCATGACCACGTAGTTGCGTCCTTGCAGCTCAAAGAGGTCAACCCCAATACGTTGCCAGGGGCGATCGGGTGTAGGAGTCCCGAGAAGCGGCTCGCAGCGCTGAATTCTTGTTTGGGCACAACGCTCGCACGTCCCCACCAGTTGCTCCAGCTCGCTGTTCAAGGTTGGCCACCACACTGAGTCGCGAGCCCTTGCCTTGCATCTTCCCACGCCTTGGTGGCCCTCGTGGAGTAATGTTAGCATCTCCTTCTGAAGAGTCTGAGGAACCACGATGCGACAGTCCTTCAGCAACAGGCCCTCGAAGGCTGTGATGTTGCCTCGCTCCTTCCAGAAAGCCCTAAGATGAACTGGAACGTTGGACACCTTCTTGGGCCACCCATCCTTGCAGAATCGGAGTAGGCCGGCACAGACTCCATCCTCTGCTTGGTGCTGGCGAAGGCGATCGAGGCGAGTGGATGCAAGACTTTAGATGTGCTTGAGCAGTGACCCAACGAAGAGCTCGACGGTGTCTACTTTGGTGCCGGCAGCCTGTACAGGAGCTCGGGAAAGGGTGTCTGCTGTCGCCAGGAGCTTCCCCGGTACATAGAGAACATTGTACTGGTAGGCCATAAGCCGCATCCTCAGGCGCTGAATGCGAGGAGGCATAGTGTCCAGTTCCGCAGATCCCAACAGAGTGACGAGGGGTCGATGATCTGTTTCGACATCAAACCTGATGCCACGGACGAACTGGTCGAACCTTTCAACGGCCCATGTGACGGCCAGAGCCTCTTTCTCCGTCTGGCTATACCGGGTTTCCGTCGGTGTAAGAGATCGCGAAGCGTAGGCAACGGCACGACGCTCTCCCGATGGTTGGTCCTGTAGCAGAACGGCTCCCAGTCCATACGAACTTGCATCAGCCGACACTGTGGTATGGTACGAAGGGTCGTACTGGGCCATGCAGACCTTGGAGCTCAACATGCCCTTAAGACGATCAAAGGCAGACTGCTGACTGGGCCCCCAACACCATGCACTGTTCTTTTGGAGAAGAGCACGAATCGG